TCATGGACTACTATGACAACAGCAGCACTGAAAAGCAGCGCAATGAGACACAAGGAACACTGGGAATATGTCACTACAACAGTGGCTCATTACAATTATTTTTATCTGCCCTCAGAAATAAAAACACTTATAGATGCTTTTTTATTGCTGAAGATCTTTGTTAATCTGTTTCATTTTTATTAGTGTCTTCCCAAGGCTCTTTCTGTTTACACACTGATCATTGATTTGGTCGGTAAGAATATGTAACTAATAGAGAGGTGTGTCCAATCCTATGAGGTCAGAATATTCCTGAAATTGTGCCAGAAACTTTACAAAGTTCTTTGAACTCTTGGAAAGGGCTTGGAGATGAGCTACCAGAATCAGTTGATGGTGACAAAAATGTTGCTGTGTAGTGAGAAAGTAAGAGGGCTCAATGTTAATAAACAGGTGTTTATTAACATTCCCAGCTTATAATTACATGCAGAAGGTGAAAATTCTGTAAGTTAGAGGGCATAATATTATCTGGTAGTCCAGACCAGTGAAATTCAAACAGGGAATAAGGTTTTAAGAGTTGGAGCAGTTTGCTGAGGGAAGTGGTGAATTCTTCATTGTTGTAAGTCAATATTTGATTTCTCTTGACATCTGGGCTAGTTTAAAGCACACCTTACCTTACCTCTCTATATTCAGGATTCACTAATAAAATTTATGGCATGATTTAGTAGGAATGCAGACAGTAGTGCCTCTTCTAATCTTAAAATCTGCACATCTCTTTAGACTTTTCAAAAATTATTTTGTTTGACGTCAGAAGAGGCCAGACCTGAGCCTGAGGGGCGTGGATGCTGCTGCTCTCCTCACCTGCATCCCATCCCAGGGCAGATACGTGCTGACCTCTCAGATTTGCCTACAAGTTCCCACAAGCAGCAGCCTCATAGACATCTCCAAAGGCAACTGCGAGTGTGAGAATTGCATCTACCAGCCTGAATTGCCTTTCATTTTCTGTGCGTTATGCAGTTACACAAACCACTGTCTGTGTGATCCAGGATCACACCAGTGGGTGCCCAGACTTGCTAAGCCATTCACACCTTGGATCCCAGCTGGCATTTAGAGTCTCAGTGAGATCTGCAGGTAGGAAGCCTCTGTTTCTCAGCCAGCCTGCTGCTGGTAACCTGCGAAAGCACTGACCGGCTCCAGCCACATCAGAGAGAGAGCCAGAAAACATGGAATTAATTTACAAAAATCTTTGCAACTCAAAAGAAGGCAAACGATAGTTGAGTGAATGCTGGAGACCCGAATTAATGTCAGCAGAAATGGCCTCTTCTGCCCCCTGTACAATCCACAAAAGAGAGGACAAATGATCAAGAAAGGTCTTGGGCTGGTCACCTGTGAAGCCTCTGCTTCGCTGAACGTTATATATTGACCTAAAGCAGAAATGTTGGGTGAGAGCTGTAACCCAGGTTACAGCTTAGAAATTCAGATATTCTTGCATGACATGTGTGTTCAGGTCATTTCAGGCACTAGAGATAACTGATTTGATGTCTTTCATGCTTTGGGTGAACTTCTACACCCAGACAATAAATCTATATAAGCATCTGATGTAAAGACATTCTTCCTGTACGAGAGTCAGCAAACTTGCACCGCTTTGCTGAATCCAGACCATTGTCAGATATATAGTTTGAAAGATTAAACAAATTAGATACTGTCATTATTAAGAGGGTTTTTAGGACAAAAAGATAATTCTCCTGTCTTGCATTACATGCTTTTTCTCATTTCTTTTATGAGAAAATTATCTTTTTAGGTAGCTGATGTATTCACGTTCTTAGTCTTCAAAATTCTGTAAATTCTGTAGTGCATTATCACTTGAATAGGCCACAGAATTTTTTGAATGCCTGCTCATAGAGAGCTTTCAGTAAAATTGAGGCTTTGAGAAGAACCAGAGAGATCTACCAACTGCACTGAAAGCTAAAAATAGGTGTTTCACTCGAGGTTCTTAAAGAAACTGAGGACTTTTGGATGATCATTAACATACTGTGTCAAATCTAAAATATTGTGATTAATTCAGAGTTTAATTTGGAGATTACTTTGGAGATGTTTCCTAATTGTGATATTAGATCTTTTTATGGTGGAACATGTTTAGTGGATTTGTGAAGGTGATCTGACAATGAGACTTTCTGGGTTCCCTCTTGGGAAGAAGCCTAACCCTTCTGAAGCAGTGGATCAAAGAAATACAAGAACTTCTGAAATTCTGGTGCATTCATGAGATGGGCACTATGAAGATTTACAGTTAAGACATGTTGTGGATTTTTACTACTCTAGTAGTTTAATAATTACCTAGGAGGTTAATGACACTGAAATCCAGAGAGTCACCTCCTCAACTCTGATTTTTTTAAGGACAGAAATAATTTAATTGGATTTAATTAATATTTCATTACAATTTTGTAGTCACCTAAAGGCCATATAGATGTGTAAGGTCTCTTCTAATAGTAAACCAGTTTTAGCACAAGTTGGTAGTAAGAATATTGGTGTTAGGGTGGGTTCTAGTAAGTTTACAGCACAGCCATTGTAATGTATAATACTGCTCTTCCTGGCTGAGGACTGGCAAACTTTCATAAATTAAACTTTAGTTTTACTTTTACATTTACTTCTTATGTAAAATGACTTTTACAAGTAATGACTGAGTCTACACAAAACTTAACAAAATTCTTCCCTTCCCCCCTATTTTTTTCTCCTTAATTCTATAGTGTTTTTTAGGGATCAGGAGGTTTAGAACTGAAAGTGATAATTTGTTTTTGAAAGTTCTGGGCACCTGGGGATTGTGAAAATAATCGTCCTGGTTTACATTAATTTTTGGTTTCTGGGACACAAATAAAAATTTAAAAGAAGGTAATCTCTTCACCTGGTTTAAACTGCTGATGGGTTTACAACAGCTAAGGATCCATCCCAGTTATTTTTAATACTTTCACGTCAAAATTGGCTTATCCCAGTTTGCTTTTGAAGCATCCTTGGAGTAAGGCTTTATTTACTCAGCCCATATTTATCTTGAGTGCACTTTATGAAATAACCGTAAGCACCCAAAATAAGGCCACGTTTTGTAATGAAAACACCTCCAGACAGACTGACCCCCCGAGGGGATGCCACTAAGGAATCGATTCGACAGCTCGTGACCGGGACTGAACCGAGCGGGAGCACGCTCAGACACTCGGTGTGTTATGTGCCCCCTTCAGCTGCGCTCAAACTCGCCTCAGCCAAGGAATGAGACTGTCTGAGGGCTCAGGGAAATGTGGGCTCTGCAGAGGTTTGGCCTTCCTGTTTGGAAAAAAAAATATATAAATTGAAAACTCTGAGAAAACAGGGACCTATGTGTGAGAGCGGGATGCACCGGAGGAGGGGAACAGCACAGAGGGCCCAGAGAGATGGCAGTGGGAGCAGGGAGGCAGGAAAAGGGACAAAAAGGGAGTTAGGAGGGAGAAGAAAGGTTAAAAGAAGTATAAAAAGTTGGAAAAGTAAAGAAAATAGAGAAGAAAAACAGTGAGAGAAGCAGGGAAGGAAACTGCGTGTTTTACTTATTGCACTGGGCTCTGATGTCCTCCCTCCTCAGGTGCCCAAAGGTACCAACATTAGTGGTTAAATGTTGGCTTATGCTAAATTTAAGCAGTGTACATCTAGAATGAGGAGCTCACCAAAACCATCAGGCCATGGCCTGGCATTCCTGCTGGAAGGAGCTAGTGGTGCACTTCTCTGAAATGGGGGTCCCTGCTCCCCCCTGCCCATCATCTTACCCCTGGATCTTTGGGAGGAGCAGCCCTGCTGAAGGAGAGAGCTGTTTTCCTCCCATGTCCCTGAGTGTTGTGGGAGTCAGGAGGACTCAGACACAGGCAGGGGCTGCCTATGGCATGAGAGGGAGAAACACAGGAGAACAGGAGCTCAGAGGGGCTCTGGGCTTCCAGCAGGATCTGGGATTGATTCAATTCTTACCAGGACTGTGGGGTACATTTGTTTTGATGAAGCTCTGCCCCAGACAAAGCAAGGTGCAGCCATGCCCAGCTCTGCCAGGGCTCAGTAAAGGTCATTTTGGGGCTGCAGCTGGTTTCTGTTCACAGAGAGGAGCAAGGGCAGCATCGGGTCTGCATCTGGGGCTGCTGCAGGCTAGAGAGCTTGAGACGCACAAGCAGAGGGGATGCGAGCACCAGTCCAGGCTGGCTCCAGTGGCTGTGGGTAGCAGGCTTTGGGATCCCCCTGCAGGCTTTGGAATCTCCCATCCTGCTGCAGGATCCCCTCCGGACTTGCTGTGTGCAGCACACAACCTGCTGTGGGATGTCTCCAGCAAGCCCTGGGATGAACCCCTAGACCTGCTGCGGGATGTCAGCTCCAGACCTGATGTGGGACATCCCCCATATCTGCCACAGAATGTCCCCCAGTCGGCCCTGGAATGAACCTCCAGACCTGCTGTGGGATGTCCCCAGGCCAGCCCTGAGATGTCCCCAAAATGCTGTGGGACATTTCCCTGCAGCCCTAGAATGTTCCCCCAGACCTGCTGCGGGATGTCTCGTAGCCAGCCTTGGGTTGTCCCACCACACTTGCTGTGGAATGCCCCCCGAACGCATCCCCAAAATGCTGTAGGATGTCCTCCTCCAGCCTTGGAATGTTCCCCCAGACCCTCTTTGGGATGTCTGGAACATGCTGTGGGACGTCTCCCGGCCAGCCCTGGGACGTTCCCCCCGACTTGCTTTGAGATGTCCCCACTGCCAGCCCCGGGACGTCCCCAACAGGCTGTGGGATGTCCTCCAGACATACTGTGGGATGTGTCCCCCCCGCCGTGGGCTGCCCTCCGCCGGTGCTCCCCCTTTCCCCTCTCCCCTCTCCCCGCACCTGGGCGCGGTGTGTGCGCTGCCGGGCGGGGAGCTGAGCCCGCTGCCGGGCGGGGGTGACTCACGCCCGGGCTTTATAACGCCGGGGCGGCCGCCGCGCCCGGCTCCGCTGCGCCGCACCGCGCCCGCGGGGAGCGCCGGGGCCGGCACCGCACCATGCGAAACCTCCCGCCGCTGCTGCCGCTGCCGCTGCTGGTGCTGGTGCTGGTGCTGCTCGTGGCCGCGGGGCACGGCGCCGTCATCACCGGGGTGAGCGTCGCCGCTCGGCACCGACGGCACCGACGGGACCGGCACCGGCACCGGGAGGGCTGGGGCGGGCCGGGGCTGCGGGGGAGGGAGGGCTCCGCCACGGCAGCGGGGATGGGACTCGGGGTCTGTGCGCGGTGAGTGATAGCGGGACTGCAGGGGATTTCCCGGGCTGAGGGATGCCAGGAGAGAGGGGGAAGCTCTGCCAGGAGGATGCCCGGAGATGGTCTTTCTGGGTGAGCACTGCCGGGACTCGGGGGTCTGTCCGGCATCAGGGATGTCAGGGCGGAGGGGTCTCGCGAAGGGTGAGGGATGCCAGTAGCTGCGGGTCTCTCTGGGATAAGTGATAACCAGGACGTGGGAGGAAGAGATGTGCCAGGCAGTGAGAGATGCCAGGGCTTGGGGGTCCGTCTGGGATAAGTGATATCGGGACATGGCGTCCCTCTGGGATGAGGGATGCCCGGAGCTGCGGATCTCTCTGGGCTAAGTGTTATCAGAGCGTGGGGGTCTCTCTGGGGTGAGGAATTTCAGGATACACCAATCTCTCTGGGGCGGGTGATATCAGGACTTGTGGGTCTCTGGGATGAGGGATGACACAGTGTGAGGTCTGTCCCTTTGCGGTGAGGGATGTCTGGACTCAGTGAGAGGTTGTCTCCAGGCTGGTCTGGGAGCGTGCAGAGATTCCAGCTGCTTTTCCAGAGCTGGAGCTGTCTCTTGTCACCCTCCATCCAGCCCCAGCTACCCCCAAACTTGTCCAGGGAGAGTCTGGATGCATTGCTCACTGTGCATGCAACTCGAGTTCCTGCAGCTCCTCCAGTCCCTCCACATACAGGGCAGGATTGCAATCACGGCAAAATGCTGCTTTTTTCCTTTCGTTTCTTTGAGTATGACTATGCTGCTTTTTCCCCTTGATAGCCACCCCTTACAAATGAATCTCTGTTGTTGTTTTTAGGCTCGAGATTTACTTTGGTTGTGAAAATATTTTTTTTCCCAAAGAGGTTATTTAACCCAAAGCATTGCATCACTCTTAAGTAAAATGATTTTTTTTCTTTGTAAGTGTTTGCTTTGGATTAATAACCCAGTACTTGAATTCCTTCGAGAGTTTGCATATCTTTTGTAACCATCAGAAGTTGTACTCGCAGCGGCTGATTTCTCCGTGGCTGTCCAGACTCCCTGTCCGGACCACTAAAGTCCCTGAAACATCTCATGGGTATTTCTCTGGAAGTCAGATCAGTTACCAGGACTGGTTATCTTTTAGAGCAGACAATGTGAAGGAATTTTTTAATATTTGATAATTTCAAGTTTCTTTTAAATAGAAATATTCCCAGCAGTGGAGGAGCAGTTTATCTGTTATTAGAGTTGTGGCTACACCTTTAAAGATAATTGATCCATCAAATAAAGTAACTGTGAGGCACTGAATAATAGATCAAGGACAAAGCATATTCAAAAAGCAAAAATAGAGTAGAACTAGAAAAATGTTACTTTATTAACTATTGCAGAACATTTCCTCTTAAATCATTTTGATGCATTTTTGGCTTCTGATGAATGGACAAATCTCAGACGAGAACTGACGTAGGTGTTTGTGTCCCCATCCTCTGAGCTTGCAAGGTGCTTTTCCTTTGTAATTTAAGGACTTGATTCAAACTTTCCTCACTTCAGTGGTGGTTCATGTGCTGACTCCAGTTGCCTTTGCAGCTGGCATTTCACCTGGGAAATATTCTTGAGCTGATTTTCCACAAAACTCTGTTTAAATGGGGTGTTCGTGTGTTGTCCCGGGAAGATTAGGAGTAAGCAGTATGAATTACACATTGCAGATAAGGTGTGGGCAGGAGTGTTTGGGTTGAATATTTTCAAAACTTGTCATACATTTTTGGAAAGGGAGCCTGAAAAGCTCTGCCAGATGTAAATATATATGGGTGTGAGTTTTAGAAGGAAATTGTTCAGCATGGACATTGAGACCCTTGCTTGCTAGGACATATGCAGGTGTGTTTTTCAACTGAGTGGTGCTGCACCCCAGGACTGGTCCCATGGAGATGGATGGGGTTTGAGCTACACAACTGAGAAAAAAAGGAAGCCAGGAGCTGACTGGTGAGAAATAGCAAAGCCTGTGACTCCAGCTGAGCAGTGGACACCAGTGTGCCGGGGGCAGCCAAAATCACTGGACCTGCGTTTTCTTCTTTTTTCACTAGGGCAAAATTAGATCATTAGAGTGCTTTTTTATTTATTTATTTTGTAAGAGAGAGGTCAGAAAATGAACATTATCTATCTGGCAGGTTCTAGTGGTAATTGTATGGCCATATTAGTCTTGCAAGTAAATACTCTGGTGTTTGGGCTCACCTGCAGCACAGAGCTGTGTGTTTAGGAGCTGTTTGGGTTACACACACTATTTAATAATTTTATCCTCAGGCAACAGCTTCTTCCTAAGCTTCTGGCTGATCTTTAAATATATATTTTGATCTGGCTTTTGCTGGTGAAACCAGTGCAATATTTACCCGGTAGAGTACAGTCTAAAGGCATTTATCATGTAAATCCCAAGGTCAGATCTGTAAGCTTGTCCCTCCAGAGAGTGTTTATTCTGATATGCGTCTTCCCCAGAGCCATTATCATCTTTTACGTACATTTTTATGAGCTGCCTGTTTACGTAGTGCTGACCAGTGCCTTTGGTCAATCACTGCTGGTGTCAGACACCAAGAGCAGTGAGTTAATTAAGCTTATGTTTGGGGTGTAATCAGAACCTTTAAATAAGGGCATTTCCCATCAGAGAAAGGAGACTGGTTTTTGCATTAAATTCATATAATAAAAAGCCTGATAAGCTTTTGATTGAAAAGTAGCTGAAAGATGTGCAGTAACTTGTTTTCAAACCCTAACGTGTCAATTGCTCTTCATGGTTTGTGGTTTTTGAAACATACCCACTAGTTTGAATTTTGGTTTGTGCTTATCTAAGCTCTATTGGGTAAGTGGCTAAAATATTTTTTCCCTCCCCTGGAGGAGAATGCAACCACAGCAGCATTTTTTGGATGTGGACACTTAGGCAAACTTTTTCTTAAGACCTCTTTTAGTCACATGTAATTCTAGACAACAACCACAGAATCCATATTTAAACTTCTATTTTAGCTACTTCCACTTGGACTTCTCTTACAAACTATCATGCAGTCTTGCAAGGGCACTCAACCCTATGATATTATCATAAGAAACTAGAAGGAGTAGTTACTTAAAAGTCATTAAATTAATAGTTGATTTCCTGTCTTAGCTTCTCCATAGACTGTTTTGGTGACTGTTTAGTGTGGTTGGTCCTTGCTCCTTCCTGAGCTCACTTGGGCGCCGATCTGGGAAAGTGAGCAGCATGTGCCATGGTCCATCAGTGCTCAGAATTTGGGACTACGAATCACTGGCAGTCCTGGATTTGGCCCTGAGCAGCTCCATGTGTGGTCCTGGCTTTAAACAACCTGGGCTCAACTCCAGCAGCCTGTACATTCAGATCTGTAGGAGATACAAGTATTGCAAATCAGCCTTAGATCTTATTATTCAGCCTTAATGAGCCGCAGTAACTTGTGGGGTGTCAGAGGCAGCTCCTGAGCACCTGATCTGTCCTATTTCTGGAATATATTTGTTATTAATTTAATTTGCCTAATGCTGTGTTGAACTCCAGGCCTGCGACCGAGACCAGCAGTGCGGCGGCGGGATGTGCTGCGCGGTCAGCCTGTGGATCCGCAGCCTGCGGATGTGCACGCCGATGGGGAATTTGGGAGAGGAGTGCCATCCCTTGAGTCACCGAGTGAGTACGTCACCGGGGGGGCTGTGGGACCGGAGCTGGCAGGGCAGAAAGGAGCAGGAATATCCTGCGCTGCACGTCACATTGCATAAAAACCGTGCGTGGTGAACGGGCAGGGAGACGTCCCATTCCTTGCCATTCCCAGCCATTTGCATCTGTGTGGAAACAGCGCTGAAGGTACCTACGTAAGGAAATACATTACTGTCAGAATTATGCAGGAGAGAATCAGAGGATGAAAGCACTACATGCTTTCCAGATTGTTTCCTTATTAGTTTGTTGTTGCTGTTTTGCTCCGTTATGTGATCTGAAACAGCGTTAGTGGTTCCCAAGCCCAACCCTGCCAATCCTTACTCGTGTGAGCAGGAACACAGCAGATGTCACTGCCCCCAGTGGAAGTGGACAAGATCCTATCACAAGCATAAAAATGTCACCAGCCAGTATTGGGGCACCTGGTGCATTGAGAAGCCATTGAGAAGGTGTTCACACATACTTGGACTTGAGAAAGTTCACCATGGACTCTCTTCTCTTCTATTCTACCGATTAATTTCAAATATATATGTATGTATACATATATACACACACATAAATAACATTAGTTACGTATTAGTACATTATTAGATGATACACAGAATTATTAATGCAATGATTTTAACAAGTAGGTTTATTTAAGGCTGTGTAATTATGTATATTATGTGCAGTATGAAAAAAAGCTGTTTATTTAGAAGTAATATGAAAGACTGAATGGGATATTACCAGTTTGAGAACCTGGTGTTTTTCAGAGCCATCCTCAGGGAAGAGCTTGGCCCAAGAGTCATCACAACAGGAAGATATCAAGGCAATACATTCAGATTATAAATGTGCAGCTAGTTAGCTGCCTTTCTCACTGTTTCATCCAATGCCTGACTTCTCATCTCAGTATCTATGGCTTATTTTCTCAGTTTTAAGAAGTTCAAGGCTCTGTTCTGTTACAGTTAAATTTTTAAATTTTCTGCTGTGATATGTTCATTTTTACCATGTAATGTAGCAGGTTTTTCATGTAAGGGGTCTTTACACTACCAAGAGTCAGGATAAGAGAAATTGTCTTCTAGGGGTTTTTATGAGCTTATTGCTACTGGGCAATAATTTATACTCTGTGATATATTTTAAGGTGATTGCCTGCATAATTACAATCAAAGATGTCTGTCCACCCCAGACTTAGTCAGGCATTGATGTTTGTAAGCTTTATGAGGTTAATTTTAGATTTAGATTCCTCAGCCCACTGCTCTTCCTGACAAACACAAAGCAAATTGATTTACCATAGTATGCAAAATGAGGTATTTTTAAGGGAGGAGTGTTTGTTCAATGGTTCCTCCCCCCAAAATATTTGGATAGCGAGCAGCTGGTGCCCTGATCACCAAAACCTTTCATTTGCATGCAGGACAGCTCAAAAGCAGGCACCAGCACGGCCATGGCACCTCAGGGACCTCCAGATGAGCCTGGAGATGCCCTGGAGGAGATGGCTGGCAGTTGGGGTTCCACCTTCTAGTTTCCTTCTCAGCAACTAGATGGCAATGGATTTATGCCATTAGCAGCCCCAGCTGGCATTTTGAGGCAGGACCAGGCAGGGTTTGAGGCAGGACTAGGCAGGTGAGGTTGCGCAGCGTGGGAGTCCCGCTGAAAGGAACGTTTCCTTGCAGCAACTGTAATGTTTTGGATAAATCCCCTGAGCTGTTGGAAAGCTGAGAGCTCAGGATGTGGGTTTTGCTGCAGTCCTGTGCATAGGCACCTGATAGGTTTGATTGCCATGGGGAATTCTCAGCTCCTGTGGTTGGTGGCCTCCCTGCTCACGCTGAAGCAGAGGGGCTGTGGTGGGTGGCTTGGGGAACTCAAGGAATCCCTTGTGCTGAGGATGCTCTTCAGACAGTGCTGGCCAGGAGTCTGGTGCTGGCTCAGGACACTGCAGGTGATGTGAGTCCCCCTCCCACTCCCCCCATCCAGCAGGGTGTCACTGCAGTAAGGCTGGGTCTTGGTGTGATGCACCAGGGACCGTGTGAGACTTTCTCCCTTTGGCTTAAAGAGAAAATTTGCACACTAACAAAAAAACAACCTTGGAATATTAAAATTCCGGGCTAAAACCACCTAGAAAACTGGAAATGAGGGAATTAGGGTTGCCTGCCTGTCTGGCAGTGCCTTTGTACCTCTGTGCTTCCTTCACTGCACCCAGGCGATGCTCAGTGTGTGTTGCCAGCTGGCAGCACTGCAGTTCCCAGCCACGTCCCACTGCGCTGTCCTGCTCAGCTTCTGTAAAAGGCAGAGCTTGTGATCAAGTTGTTGAAGAGTGTCAGTGCATGTGCATGTCATGGCACAGTTAAATTTGTCTAATGCAGTCCGTATGTGCTCCCTGCAGCACAGTGTGGCTGGGGGAGGGTGGGATGAAATGAGAAAACTCTGCCCTGTGGTGAAAAGGATCCTGCTCCAAGGGAGGTCAGATGAGGTGACCTCCAGAGGTCCCTTCCAGCCTGACTACCATGGGATCCCAAGGTTCCTGGGTCCTGCTCTGTGCCATGTGACAAGGCAGGAATCGGAACAAACAGAAACCCCTGCACAGTGACACCACATTTGATGCTGAAGGCCACTGTCGTTTCACAACAGACTCCTTTATGAAACGGGAGTAAATGGAGAACATGTGTCACAGATGTAGATTTACACAGCACCATGACTGTTAACATTTTGCCCTTAGCTGTGGCTTGACCAGGATGTACGACAGGGTTGGCTTTGCCATCTGCTCTCCACCCCCGTGCCGCAGCTCGTGGGGAATCTCCGGCTGTGGAGGGAGGGAGGGGGACGGCATTCCCTGTATTCCCACTGTTCCTCTGAATCCATCCCCCCAAGCATCGCTGCCACAGTGCTCCCTGTCCCTGATGTCTGTGCTCTTTGTGCCCAGGTTCCCTTCTCGGGGCGGCGGATGCACCACACCTGCCCGTGCCTCCCGGGCCTCACCTGCGGACGGACTTCCTCCAGCAAATTCAAATGTATGCTGCACTTCAGAAAAGAAGATGTCTTCTTTTAGCAGGAGCTGTTCCGGGCTAGAAGAGCCACTCTCTATTCTCATTTTCTCGTTATTGTGATGAACAAGGTACTTGCCATGGGGAAACCCTTCACCACACTTTCCTGCCTCACCAACATCAACAGGAGATGAGATGCTGTGCTGTTGTGGCCAAGGTTTTCAGGAGGGACTCGCAGTGGCAGATGCTTTTATTTTGGAGTAGCAAAATGGCATCTGCTAAACCAAAACTTCTGTCTGAGAGCAGGGGCTTAACCATTTCTGAACCATTTCATGGTCTTCATGGTTCCAGCTTAAACCCAGAATGAAAACATCCAAGTTTATTGTCAGTTTTGAAAAATTTTGGCCCCATTTTTACACCTTGGAATACCTGAATTGAACTGAGAGTTGAATAAGTGCATAGTGTGAAGCATATGAGGATTGCCAAAAAACTGTATTTACATTGCATTTCGTATATTTATATTACTGTATTTGTAAGTTAGGCGCGTCTCTAGGAAAAAAGGTTTAACCAATAGATGTAGTTTTTACACTTTTTAAAAGTGGCAGGTGGAACCAAAGCATTTCAATATTCAAAGTATCAAAAGATTTTGTTATTTTAGTATTCTAAGATGAGAAGTTGTTGTTACTTGAATTGGTGTAAGACTACCCGATCATCTCAAACTATGTATTAAGATGTAGTTTATATTAAAAAAAAGGAACCCTGAAGTTTATTGTAATGGGCTGCCTGACTTCTTGTATATGTATCAAATTTGCTGTGTAAAAATTCTGTATCAGAATAATGGCAGTATATTATTTGATTTATTTTAATATTATAACATTATTTTGTCATTGTGGCTTTTCATTTTTATTCAGTGTAATCTGTTATCCCATACTCGATCCACCAAGCTAGCAGAGCTCCTTATGGATAGCTTAGCAAAAGATTATGTGCCTCTGGCTGCTTTTAGGGAAACTTGGATTTTACAAGGCATGAACTCCTCAATCAAGCTGCAGTCTTAGACGGTGGAGGAATCTCAGTGTAACTAATATGAGAGGTTTTTCTTGGCACATGCCTCAAAGGATCAACTTTAGCTCAGCAAACATAAGATTTGTGGGTTTTCTATGAAATACTGTGTGACTTCATATTTACTTGTCAGTCCCCAGAGCTGGAATTCCAATAGTTTGTGTGAGATTCACACGTTTCTTGCTCTCAGACATGCAAACATATGCTGGAACTGGAAAAGTGAAGTCATTCATCTTTCCACAATCAGTGCTTTGCTGATGATGGGGGGGGGGATTGGAGAAGTTGGCACACTTTTATCAAGGCAAAGACCTGTATTACTTGGAGAGGAGGAGAAACAACACAGTGAGTTTACTAGGTACCTTCCACTGGGCCCCACAGCCTCCCTGAGGAGACAGCAAGGAACAACTGGACTAGTTGTTTTGCCAGACCCTCGTGGATCCTGCACATGTTAGAAAAATAAATGTCTTGAGGGACAAGATTGCTCAAGAGAGCCCAACCCCAGGGCACCCACCCCAATGCCTCTGTATTGGACTGTGCTGGTGAAAGACCAGCTCATTCCCATGCCAGTGCAGTCATATGTGAGCGCTGCAGAAATTTCCATAACCTGGGCTTAAGAACAACCCCCAAACCTGATCCTACCACTGCCACTCCTCAAACACCCTGTGCACCCACACAGTCCCAGTTTGCAGAGGCAGGACACACTGGGAGTCTGGGGGTTGCTTTTCTGTCCAGGTCTATCACTATAAAATAACCTTAATACCATGGACTTCAATTTACACTCAAGGGAAACTCAAGAAGAAAAATAGATGTGTCCCATCTCTTGCTTCATTTTTTTTTAACCAAAGCATGAAAGATGAACCACAGTAGGAAACACCAGCCCTGCTCCTCATCACCTGCTGGCATAAATCACCAGTGACTGCACTGAAGGCAGTAACCCTGGTTTATATCATTGTAAATGAGTGGACAATTATATCTGAGGACTGTCTCAGACCTGCCAAACTGAACTCCTAGGAGAGTTCATCAGACCAGAGCAGAGCAACTTTGTAGTTGTAATTTGTGCCAATTAACTTGTGGGATTAAGCATTTATCTGGGTAATGAGAACAGCCCCAATTACATGAGTTCAAAGTTCACACCATCTAGAGCAGGTGGAAGTTCTCATGTCCTGCAGATGCTCCTGGACAGGGCATTTGAAAGGTGAAGCTTTGAGAGAGACCTTATTCCATACTTGTCCTCAAGGGGCTTCTCCACACCTTCTCTGCTGACGTAGGAGAGCCAAAGGCAAAACCTCACTGTCCTACATCCCCACTACGTTCACTTCGCAATAATTATTACGATTCCCCTTTTAGTAATTTAATTTTCATTAATTGACACTCACAATGAAGGTTAGTTGATTTGAGAGATCATTTTGGAAGGAAGATTAAGCTTTTGCATCCCAATTATTTCCTAAAGTCTGTCCTAATCAATTATCTTTTCTCCCATCCTAGGGGAGATTTCCTCACTCAAGCACATGCAAAGTCCCTTTAATTTCTTTCTGCAGTGGCTGAGAGGGAACCTTTTACCTTTGCTTTACAGAGATAATAGGCAAACCAGTGGCCACAAGAAGCATTTCAAAATGTAAATGGCCATGCACGCCCCTCTGCTTTTCCCTGGAGCCAGGTTTTGACTTAAGGAGGACAGCAAATGACTCAAGATGACCGATGGAAAAGGTGGCCAGCCTCAAGCCAACCCTGCCATGAAAACTTTTCTGCAGTCCCCTGTGCTGCTTGGTTTGCTCCAGGATCACCTTGGCAATAATCCTAGGCCAGGAATAACTTTCTTACCTGCCTAGGAAGAAGGGAAGGGGATTTCTCTTGGCAGGAAAAATCAGATGAGAAAAGAGAACAGAACTTGTGCAGTCCTGGAACCACCTTGGTAGAGGGGAAAAGTCTCCTTTCCCAGTTTGTGAAGAGAGAGCCTGGTTTAAACACTTTCCTTTATTCACTCCACTTAGGAGATCTGTGCCTACGTTTGGTTTAATTTTATTAATATTGCAGTATTATTAATTATTAATAGAAACATGTGCATTAATTTTTAATAGTATATGAATATTGATATTACAGATATGCTATAGAATAATGTTGGTATCCCACCACACTGGAGGAGTTTCCATGTTTATAACCAGATTTTGGGTTAGCAGAGAGCCACTGCAGGAAAACACACAGCCACATATAATGAGCTGCTGCCTTAATTTGATTACATGCTTATTAGGAAAGGTTAAGCAAGGTGTTTGGGGTTTGTGGGTGCACAGCTGGCTGAGCCAGCACACACCTGTGAGCCTGGGGGGCTGCAGGAAAGGCTCTGCTGCTGAGCAGGAGAAAGCCCAGCTGAAGCTCAGCTTCATCTGCATTCTCCTGCCCACAATTCCCCCCTGGGAAATTATGTCACTTAAAAAAATATAATAAAGTTACAAAAATCTTTGAGTGAGGAGATGATACAAAATAAATTCTTCTGGTTGTGTGGCAAGGGGGACTCATCTGAGTGGGTCCTTAATGAGGAGACAGGTCACCTTAACAAAAACACTGGTTTTACAGGACCAGTAGGTGAAAGGAGGTTAACTGAAGCAAGGCTGAAGGTTATGTTGCTGGTTGAGAGAAGAGAATGGAAGAACATGTACCTGTTTAGAGGTAAGTAAATGGGATTATGTTTGATTTGATATATTTGCAGGTGGCTTGGGAACACTAATCTTGTTACCTCAAAAGTCTAATGTGTTAGGATGCCCTATGAGATGTTTTGTTAAGAGGTATTTTGCTACTTCTTTAGTCAACTTGTTTACAGCACCTCATCACAATACACCACAAAAAGGTATGATAGCAGCAAGTCTGACCATAGACTGAGGTCCTTGCTGGTGCTTCCCTCTGCCCCAGTAGCTCTCTGGTTTGTTATTTCTGCACAGATGGATATTCAAAAGTAACAGAAGGTGCTAAGAATCCCTTGATTTAAACAAGATGTCTCAGGAATTTGATCTTGACAATGTGTAGCATGTTTTTGCAGAAGAAATTAGAAAATTGCAGGAAGAGAAAAGACTGTGCAAATACAAGAGGATTTTGATAATAGCAAAATCAATGTGCCTTTCTCTTGTGCACAGATATGAAATGGCAAACCAGCAGGGGTACAGCTGTCAGACTAATCAGTAATTCTGAGCACAGGAATGGAGATGAGTTTAATGTACATAAAGCAAATCACCTCTTGTTTCTCAAGGAGAGTCTTGATTCTGGGCAGACCCAGCCCAGTGCAGCAGGACACATCTCAATGATTTGGCCAGGCAGGTTGCCTTAGACATGTCTGCCTTAGAGGATGGTGGCAGTCTTTGGGCCACTCTGACTGGTCATCAGGGATGGGAAAGGCTGAATGTGAAGGGCTAAAGCCAAGGAAGTCTGGTGCTCTGAGGGGAGGATGGACGGCAGCTTGTTTCACGGCAAGGAGTTCAGTGCAGGGTGACAGCAAAGTGTGCAGGAGAGGAGGAATGAGCAATAGGACCACATAGCACACCTGCAAACACCCCCATGGTAGGGGTTTCCCAAAGGTCTGAGTGTGAGGCACCTTAGTATGGGGGTAAATGAGGCACAATGTCCCAACAACAGAAAGTCTCCTCTGCAACCCCCCAATTTACCTGGGAAACTGGGTACCTGTTAACTGTGTGCCAGGAGTGCCCACAGCATCCCAGGCTGATGCTCCTTTGTATCTTGGCACCAGGTATCAGCATGTTACAGGCATGTCCCCGTCCCTGGAAGGTTACAAATCTCGTAGATCATACAAAGCAAGTGTCTGTGCTTCAGGCAGCGTGTACTCACATCGCTGCAGCCTGAGCTGTCCTGGGATTCATTGCTGTCCTTGTGTTGCATCCCAGCCAATGGTACAGAAAGGATGGGCCATGGACCCCAGTGGAGCTCTGCATTGCACTGCCTGGGCAGCCTCTCTCTTCCTGGGCTGGGAATCCCACCAGGTCTCCCAAGCCCCCACACAGCA